ACGCTCAGTTAGGCCTATGACTTCCTGCAAGCTGGTAGTCAACTGTTCCGTAGGGTTTAAAGACCATCGATTAAAAAAGAAGAAGGAAAGAAAGAACAAAACCAGAAAGAAAGAAAAAGAGAGGCGGCTCCTATCCGAGGAAAATTAATCTTTGACATGGAAGAGAGGAAGATACGATGGAAAGGTTGCGTTTCCCGGTTGGTATTGCGGGTTGCTTTTTTGGGGTTGCGGCCGAACAGGTTAGGCAGGAGGAGGGCTTCATTTTGTACTCAGTTGTAAAAATGACGATTATTTTAAACGGTGTGAACTGCGGGCCGGCGTAGGTTTCGGAGAAGGATGAGCAACGATTCTAGGTTTTGTAAGGGGGGGGGCAGCAAACATGGCTGGGGGGGGACTGAGTTTAAGTGGGGTGCAAATCCGGGCCTCTTTGCTCTGAGTTTGGAAAAGGATGGATGCAGTTGCAAAAGACACGGTCTCCTTGAGAGTAAGTTGAGGGGGGGTGTTCATTTCTAGATGGAGTTCAGTAGAATAGAAGGCTTCAACGTTGTGGAGCTTCATGACCACAAATAAGGTCCCGAAAGCAGAAGCTGGGTTAGAGAGGACAATTAGGTAGAAATTTTCCTCACTAAGATCTCACTAAAATGTGAGGAATGAGCTCGTGGACAGTAGTACTTAAAGTGGGGAGGGGAGAACTTGATAATTCACATCTTCAAATGCTGAAGCACAGTAGCCAACATTTCTTAGCAAGTGCCTTGTCCTTGGTATGATGTGTGCGGGTGTGTGTAGGGGGGGGGGAACCTCTCTTCATTCCCTGAGTTTTCGAGGAATCTTGACAGGTGTGCTCTGGATGGCGAACTTTGCCCCCACCGTCCCTTTCTGTTTGGTGGCCTGACTTTGTTGTATTTTCCAAACAAGATTCTGAGGTCTCATCTGTTACAAAGCGGTTTTAGAGCTTGATTAACTGGTCCCTTTGAAATGCAGAGGACGCTGGGCTTAAATTTGTCTTTCCAAACTTCCGAAAAGTTGAGCTGCTGTAATTAGAGCAATTGAAAGTGACAAGGAAAGAAAAAGAACAGGATGTTTGCCCGGCAAAAGGGAAAGGGAGGAGGAGGAGGTTTACGTGCAGGTAGAGTGGAAGATGTGGTTTATCTTTAGACTTGGGGGCCGTGAATGCGGGATTATGAGAGGTGACTTGTTGAGAACGAAGATAATTGAGGATTTCTGATAGACGCTAGGGGTGCTGGTGATACCGAGATGCGATTCCTTCTTTGTCTGATCGGAGGATTTTTTAAAAAAAAAAAGTGATGATGACTCTTAAAGAGAGAGTGGGGTGGGGTTAATAGGCCCAGGTGTTAGTTTTCCCCCAAACCTACACCTGGACACAGAAATGGGTGGACTACAGATGAAATATTAACAATTAAATATCGGTCCAGGTCAGAAAAATGAGAGCAGATGTCTCAAAGGTCTAAGAGACATAGGTGTTCTTGAAGGAAGGAGCTGGTGCATAATGTGACTCATAGTTCTGAACACACTTACTTGGAAGTAAGTCCCTTTGGGATAAGTTTGTATGGTTTGGGACAGACTTCTTCTTGCTCTTAGTAGGAAATCTCAAACTATGATTCCAAATTCCTTTCCCCATCACTCTAGAAATGTATGATGCATAATGTTTGCGGCAAATATAACTTGAAGGTGTGTGTCAGCTACTTTGCTAAGAACATGTGGTGTGGTTAACATTGAGTTGAACTGAATTCTTCTTCTGATCAAATGTTTGGGGCATGACTTCAGCCACAGATCCTCAACTTACTTATATGAGAGGAATTGAAACCATCAGTTTTTAAATCCAGGCAAATGCATACAAATTTAAATTGCTGGTTCAATAGGGAAAGTTAATGCACTTAGTTTGGAAGGTATTAAAGTGGATGAATGCACAAGATAAAAGATTTATCTTGGATTTAAGTGACAATCCCAGTGTTAATGTGGCAATATAGTCAGGTCAGGTCAATATTAACACAGGGCATCCAGTAATAAAGCTTTCATGTTATAGGTTGGGTTGTGAAGGAGGAGGACCAAAACTTTAAATGAATCTTGGGGTTTTCATTTGTTTGCTCAGAAGATGGTTAAAGAACAAAAATAATGCTAGTGAAGGCTTTTCTGACTTAACTGCCTTCCCCAAAGTGTATGTTCTCTTCGTTTTGATATCTATGCAGGTATGTTTCTACTAAACAGTTTCCTTTCCTTTTCATCCCAATTTAGGCTGCAATCCTATACCTGTTTACCTGGGAATACACCACACTGAATCCAGTGGGTTTGACTTCTGAGTAGAGGAGCCTTGGATTGCTTTGCAGTTTTTAAAAGATATGAACCCTTGTACCTTTGTTTACAGAAAATGTTCAGTATATACAAAACAAACAAGCCTCACAAATAGAAAGTTAATATAAGGCCATAACCTAATGCAGTTTCATTCTGGAAGAGACATGCTACAGGTACCCCAGTCCAAGCTGCTGAGAGAATTAGAAAAATCAATACTACACAGACTTCTGTGTCATTAAAAGGTTTCTTTATGCCTAAATTTGTAGTGCCATCATACACCAGGTCTTTTCTGAACTAAGTCCCATAGAGTTTGTGGGAATTATTTTCAGGTAAATAAATACAGGGCTGCAGCCTGATACAATGTTGGCATCTCTCTCTCTCTCTCTCTCTCTCTCTCTCTCTCTCTCTCTCTCTCTCTGGGTTTGGTAAAATAATCCTACGAATTCTAGTGAATCTTTTTTCTGGAGATCAGCACACCTCACTGTCTGGGTGAAAAGGGGCTATTCTGTCCTAACCACAAAAGGCTCATTACTTACACAATGTGCATATTTTATTGTTTTATATGTCTCCTTTTGGGTGGAAATAAAATTCCTTTGATCTTTTCCCATTTCCTCCTCTCTGGGCTGTAAAGTAATTTCTCTTTGAAAAAAAAGCCACGCCTTGTCTTCCTATCTACCTTGGTATTTGTTCTCATATCTTCCCCTTCTTTTCTTTACCATAGATAAGCACATAATGCAAAGCATGAAAACCTGTTTGGATATGTGCAAGTTATTTCTTATTGCAACGAAATCAGACAAAAAGAGAAAATTTTGTTGTAATTAAATGATAAATCTTGCTGAACCAAATTGGGAGTGAATATATTTCTGTCTCATACCCTTTTTGGTCCAACAATCTATCTTAACTACCTAATTACCGACTTCCCTTCATTTCCCTTCCTATTAAGTTTTTTGGATTGTATTCCTGTGTCCGTATCTCTTTCCTGAGAAGGAGAGGGAACCATGGATTTGACCAGGTATCTAGACTGTTCTTCGCACAATTTTGGAAGCTGTGTCGGAAGCAACTCTTTCAAGACATACTTTCTTCGGAAAAATCGAATTTATTGTACCCGACTAATACTTTTGACCCGACATCCCCAACCACCACTTTTTATGTTCTCAAGCAGAATACTGTACTTTCAAAGGAGAATGTCTCTCTGTCTTCTGTATGTACCCTGTAGATCCGAATTTGTGTAAAAGAAACTGTGCCACAAATTCGCATCTAGGGGAATATGTAGTTGACACAAACGCTACGGAGTGCAGACTTAATTGAAGAAAGAAGGAAGGGGAAAGGGGGATGAAAAAGAGAAATGTAATCGGTAAAAGAAACATCTTATGAAGAATATTTCGTTTTGCTATGCATTTTTGCTGTTGCCTGTGGTGACGGTGGCTGTGCCTGCATGTGTTTTAATGCCGTATATCATCGTTTTTTGAAAAAACACCATTGGTCCCCGTGTTTTTCTCCAGGTGAACATCCAGCCATGATATTAAATATTCTTAGCTGTTTTATATTGTACAGAAAATTCATTGGGGGGGTGGGATGCTTTGGTATCAATGTCATTATTCAAGAATTAAACCTTTTTTGTAAACCGTGCTGGGAAGAAACAGTTTAGTAGTAAAGATTTAGTAGTAAAGTTATTTACTATCAACGGATGAGTGGGCATTCCTCGGAACATGGGGAGGGGAAGGTTCCTGCCCCAAGGGTTAGCAAAACGGTATACGACAGATACCTCCATAAATATAGGCAGAGGTGTGTGTTTCCGTTTTCATAATCTAAAAAAACCTTAGCCAACTGCTGCCTTTTATTTATAGGGTAGATCTAACCCTAACAATCCAAGCCCCTCCAACTCACTATTCCAAAATATGTTCTACCCCTGGCTAGGGTGGCGTTAGGGCGGGGAGGGGGGGTGGTCTAAGCCAGAACCTGACTGTCATTTGAAGGGATGGGTAACCCGAATTAGTTAATGACGTTCCTATCGATCTCCAACGAGCTCTATCTGTCTTTGCCGCTGGCTCGACTCTGTCACCAAAATTTAAGCACAAACCAGAAATCGAATGCATCATATATCTAGAAGTGTTTTCCCCACTCTCAATTTCTTATTTGTTCAGACTGAATGTATTCTTATTTTACTTTTTTTTTTTAAACTTTAAGATAAACCCTGGAAAAAGAAGTTGTGTGTGTTTTAGCAGTGACAAAAATATCAACAACTGGCGTTCTGCTTGAGGGCACTTGGATTTTCTGACTTCTTTATCATGAAGAAGTAATGGGATACAAGATTTCTATTATTTATGAAATTATGGCAATCCTGATATATTTCAAAGAAAGACGTGGAAGGAAGAGAAGGGCCTTAATTGTCCATTCCTGGAATGCGGAATTCCGCCTAGGTAGTGAACGTATTTATGTGTAAAAGAAATCCAATTTACTTCCATGCATCTTGCATCCACTTTGAAGGTGCGCTGCTGCTAGAAATGCTAAAAGAGCCCCCCCCCCTCCACGCTCCAGCTTTCTCCTTCTTGATTATTTCCTTATCCGGGAATCCCAGACAACCTCTCCATTGGCTCCTGGGGTCACATGGACATCTAACTTTGTTCAGTTGACGGCAAAAGTAGGAGGGCTCTCCGAAACAGGAAAACGAGTGAGAAGGGGAGGGGAAGGAAGGGAGAAGGGGGAGGGGGCGAAAGAAATAGGAATAAATTTTAGTATATTTTTGGGGTGTGCGTGTGGTGTGAGTGAGCGAGAGTGTGCGTGCCGGCGCGCGCGCGCCCTTTTGCAATTGCAAAATTAATGGCCATGAGTTCTTTCTTGATCAAATCCAACTATGTGGACCCCAAATTCCCACCATGCGAAGAATATTCCCAGCACGATTACCTTCCCAGTCATTCTCCGGAATATTTCAGCGGCCAGAGGCGAGAGGAGAATTCTTTCCAACACGAGGCGTTGTACCCAGCGCGGTCCGCCTGTAATCAACCATCCTATCCTCCATGCCAGGGCTCTGGGCACCAACCATCGGTCCTATCTCCTAGGAGCCGGCATGCCCACGCTCCAGCTGGACTTCAAAACCATCTGTCCGAACCAAACCACACTTGTGAATCCATCACGCCAAGCCCACCGCCTTCCTGTAGCCAAAACTCTCTCAACCAAAGCCCGTCCTCTTGCAAAGAACCGGTAGTTTATCCTTGGATGAAGAAGGTTCACGTTAGCACGGGTAAGTGAACCTTAAAGTGCTGTTCGCTTTATACTAACCTGCACCTCAAAGTCTTGTTGGGAGAAAAAAAAGCTTATTGCCCCCGTTGTAAAAGAACCATTCCCTTTGGAGATTTATGGTCTCCCTGTTTGCAGAGCGCTATAATTACATCCTCCATAAATTTTTATTGCTCTTCTTGGCCAACTGCCTTTGAAGTCCCTGTTAACATCATCCTCCAGTTTCTTTCTTTCTTTCTTTCTTTCTTTCTTTCTTTCTTTCTTTCTTTCTTTCTTTCTTTCTTTCTTTCTTTCTTTCTTTCTTTCTTTCTTTCTTGTTCTGTTTCCTTCTTTCCCTTCTTTCATTGGAGGATGTTCACCAGGAAAAGTTTTTAGGAAGCATGAGATATTTTCTTTTTAATTTTGCTTGAATACCCATTGAATTTGTTATCTGAAGCATTGAAGCAGTGATCTGAAGCAAGATTTTCAGCTTTCTTAAAGCGTTTTTAATATGACCCTTCAGCCCACTTTTTATTTAGAATCATTATAGTTTTCAGAGGCAATGCCTTCCAAGAAAGGGACGTTGAGTTAGGATGCAAGAGGAATGTCTTACTTGTGGGGCAAAACTTTATAGAACTTTCAGGCACGTAGTCAACTACATGTAGGCAAATCGTAGCTTGCTAGTTTGATCCACAAGATTGTTAAGCAGAGGTCTTTAACCTTGGTGGTTTAGTACTAGCCAAGTGAATGTCTTTGCACTAGTTTCTTCAGTTAGGTATATTGTAGCTCAACTTTGAAGTTTGTTTAACATTCAATGTTGTAGAATATTACTGAGGATTTGACAGATATATATCCATAGGTCCATTTCTCTTCACTTCTTCCTATGTTTACTTACAAACTAGTGCTAGCTGAGTGTTTTAAATACTGGGAAGCATAGCTGTTTTGTGATACTAGCAGTGGTTTTCATAGTGCACTGTGGCTCTCTTCCTTTCTGAACTAGCATTTTGATCCTAGACACTGTTAACTACTGAAGCAACCACAAATATTCTGGATAGATTTCTAAGCATAATTTTTAAAGCTCTTTGGGATCTTTAGTGACCTTTAGGCCAGGAATAAAGTTCTAGCTTTTAAGGGTGTGTGTGTGTTAATTTTTAGGACTGTGCAAGGCCAGAGAGAGAGAGTTGCATGTAAGCAAGAAGCAAAGAGGAAGATTAGACTATATAGCATACATGGATAAATCCTCACAAATATGTCCAGACTGAGAAAGAGAAAAGGTCAGATATGCAAATTAAAGAGAAGCCAAGTTGGGGGGGGTTGTCTCCTAAAGTTCTTAAGACATCAAGATGTGTCTCCAAGAATGTATGCATAGGGGCAGCCCAATCCTATGCATGTTTACTCGGAGGTACTCCTCACTAAATGCAAGGGGATTTATTTTCTAATAAGTTGCAGGTATTGGAGATTTAGATTGCAACTCTCTTCTCCTTTACATAGGATAAGGTGCCATGAATCTCAGCGGAGTTTACTTCTGCGTAGGTTATAAAGACCCAGGCTGTTAGACGGATTGTGGGATGGGTGGTATGAGATTTAGTGGCTTGGCTTTGTTGTTAAGCGGTACCCCCCCCCTTTCCCCCAGATTTCTTCCACTGAAGATAGTTGCTTTGTTTTGTTTTTCACGGAGCTGAAGAAAGAGTAACATTCCCAAATCTCCCTCCCTTCCCCCCACTACCACCATCCGATGTCCCACTCTCCTCCCGCCTCTTCTTTTATGTTTTCTTCATTCAGTCAACCCCAACTACACCGGAGGGGAGCCGAAACGTTCCAGAACAGCCTATACAAGGCAGCAGGTCCTGGAGTTGGAGAAGGAATTCCACTACAATCGTTACCTCACCCGAAGGCGCAGGGTGGAAATTGCCCACTCCCTTTGCCTGTCCGAACGCCAGATCAAGATATGGTTTCAAAACCGGAGGATGAAATGGAAAAAAGACCACAAGTTACCCAATACCAAGATCCGGTCTAATTCTGCGGTCAACCTGCCGGTTCCAGGAGGGGGAGCTTCGGGAGGAGGCCCCCAGGACCGAAGCAACGGACCGACCCCTGCCCCCACTACCAATCTATAACCATCTTTTGACCGTCCTCTGTGTATATGTGTGTCTGTGTGTGGATGTGTGTGTCTGGATGTATGTGTATGCCTGCCGCCTCCGGTGATAAGAACTGGTGTATGAAAGGGGAGAAGATCGTGTTGTGGTTTCAGTGTTCCCTGAGGAAGAACCATGGAGGCGCTGGGGGAAGGGGGGAGAGGGTAGGTGGGAACGCTATTTATACCAAGGGAAAGGAGACAAAGGAGAAGGTGGGGAGGGGGCTATTCCTTTGGCCGGAAAGCGGGGAGGTGTTTGTGGTGCAGCTTTGCTCTTCTGTAGGAGGGTCAGTGGGGGTTGGATTTGGTGAAGATGGATCCCTTTTTCATCTTTAATCAAGCCAAACTCGGGCCCATTTGTCATGTTTACTCTCGCGTACAAACGAAGGACCTTATGCCAGCCATTAGCGCGACAGCCAGAGTCATCTTTAATAAATGAGGCCCGGTTTCACCTAAGGAGAACTGGACTCTTTCTCTCTCTCTTTCTCTCTCTCTCTCTCAATCCCCTTCTTTCTCAACCTCTAGTACTTCCACCCTCATCAACCACAAAACCAGTTTAAAATCAGACTCCCCGTCCCTCACTACAGAAACGTGTGGGCGTCTGTTTAACACAGCCATAGGTGGCAGAGCGATTGAAAAGGGGAAATCGAATTCTTCAAACCCTCTTAGGACATCATTGGATAGCTAATATTTCAAAGAAGGAGGTGTGCCAGTTGAGGGGGGAGAAAATCTGGGGGGGGGACAACCAAAAAAAAATAAAAAAGAAGTGCAACCAAAGCAATGTAAAACAAAAGTAGTCCTTCAAGCTAATTGCCTAACCTATAAGACCTGGAAAGCAAAGAACACTGTGCATTTCAGTCTATAAAGTTGATCATAACATAAGGCCATATGGGTTCCAGCGGCTATTAAAAGAGGAGGGGGCCTTTTGTAAATAAGGATGCTCCTCCACTGTCCTCACTCCCATTTTTGAACTGGACATGTGCATAAAGATGGATCTTCAGGGAATTCCCTTGGGAAGTAGGGGATGAAGGAAGAAATATGTGTTTTCTATACTCCTTCCTTCTTCCCTCCCTCCCTCCCCCTTTCCCTCCATCCCCCTTTCCCTCCATCCCCTCAATCTCCTATATATGACATTCCAAAATGGTGTGGTTCCAGAGAACTTTGGGGAGGGGGAGAAAATGCCCCCTCCTATAGTTCTGTATAATTACCTCTTGTTGTTTCATGTGCTATCAGTAAAAACATGTACATAGTAATGGAAAACCGTAATGGAAAAAAACCCAAAATAAAAAAATTATTGTGACTATGGCTGTCTGTGTTCTTCAGAATACTGTATCAGTTAGCAGCAGCAGCAGCAGCAGCTCCACTGTTCCTTTGTTCTGATAGTTTGCAGACATATTAGACCAGATTTTTATTGTTGTCAATTTTCAGTCTTACAGTCTCCTAATGGAAACAAAAGATGTTTGACCATAGGGTATATCCTCCTTAACTACAGCTAAACCTTATAAGGGATGATTTATTTCCTTTAAGCATGCACTAATGCATGGTTACATTTTGCTTTCCAAACTGGTTCAAAAGCTGAAATAGTAGTCTGATCAGTAAAATTTTACCTGATATCAAGAGTATAAACAGTATGTTCTCCAAGATATGTTTTCTCTCTCTTCTTTTCTCCCTCCTCCCATCACAAGAAAAGATTCCTTCTTCAAGGTATTTAATGCATTTAATCACCATAATTTTTGCACAGATGTTTCTTGGTGTTTGCAGGTTTTCTGTGTATTTTTATATTACAAAGGAGCCAGCCACTGCAATACCTCAAACTCTGACAAGCAAATAGATAATCAAGAAGACAAATGACTTCTTTTGTGCTCCATAGCTCTTGTATTAATTTTCATTTTCTTTCTCATACAAAATATCGAAAATACTGTTTAGCACGAAATAGCATTCCAGTTCTAAGTTACAATGGGGCTGCGTGAAATCTGAAATCATACAAAGAAAATCGTAATTTTCTCTTTTAAGAAATGTCCTGGTTCTCCCTAACATAGCCCTTGCTTGGATGCTGGCTTAGGACAGAATGTAGCTGGATAGCCTCCTGCACAATGTTCATAATAATAGATGTCAATTCATTTCAATGGGGCTGGTGTATAACAAATTCCCTGTGGGTTCGGCACTCAGAAATGGCCCAGAGAAGGTTATTTTCATATGAGGGTTAAATATTCTAATAACCTTCCCTTAAGCCAGGACCTATCCATTATTCAAATAGTACTTGTTTTACTGCTTTATTGTACTATCAAAATGTGATGGCAAAAATACCCTGTTTCCCTGAAAATAAGACCTAACCTGAAAATAATCCCTACTATGATTTTTCAGGATGTTTTTAATATAAGCCCTACCCCAAAAGTAAGCCCTAGTTAAGTGAAAGCCCACCATCGTGCAGCAACCAGAAGAAGATGACATGACTGTATTTGAATAAATGTAGATTGTACATGAAAAAAAAAATAAAGCATCCCCTGAAAATAAGCCCTAATGTGTTTCTTGGAGCAAAAATTAATATAAGACCCTGTCTTATTTTCGGGAAAACACGGTATATAGGGCTAAATCTCATTTAATTTCTACCAAAGCAGACCAAACCTGTTCTATGAATGGGACTTGTTCAGCCAACATCTAAGTCCAATTGATTCAATGGGTTGATTCTAGTTGGCTCTAACAACTGAATTTAGCCTGCATAGTCCAATTCAGCAATTTCTCTTTAAACTCGCTGATTTTAACCCAGAGTTAGGCATGCTGAGCATTCACCCTGACCTACTGAAATCTATGGGACTTGAGTTAGTCAGGCCCAAACTCAATATCTCTTATTTTACTGGTCTATTTTAAGCAAAGGAGGTCTGGTCTAGCTCTAATCCAGTGTGTGTATGGTTTCTTTGTCCACATTAGGTAGAAAAATGGATAGACAGGTCAACATAATCTTCCTATAGAAATTGTACTATTACTAACAACAACAACAACAAAAACAACAACAACACTCTTGTTGCTTCTGACCTATCACTCCTATGACCTCCATGCTGCTTTTCACAATCCCAGAACTCTGCAGCAACTTCTCAAAGCCAGGAGACCAAGTAGAACAAGCACCTTCTAGGTTGCAAACAATACAGATGATGATCCAAGCCCCCTTTGAATCAATGTCATTTATATTGCAGTTGTATAGAATAAATTAAAGGATGCCACAATGCTGTGATTCTAAGTACACTTTCATGGAAGTAACAGGGAAATGGATCTTTACACTAAATGCAGTCCTCATGAGGTGACGTGGGACAGCAGTGGCATTGAACACAGAGGCACATCACTTAAGAGAGTTGTGATATTATTTTGTATTACCCTTGTCTGATTTCTCCTCCTCAGTGAGTCAATGCTGGAGGAAGTATGTGAATCAAACTTTTGCTTTGGTGTGTTATTGTCCTTATATGCAAAAGAGGGCTTGAGGAAAGTACATGAATCCATCGAGGACTCTGTTGTTTTGTTTATATCACCTATTAATGGCAAATCTGAATGGGTGGCTTCTTTCTTTCTTTCTTTCTTTCTTTCTTTCTTTTTCCTTATGAAAAGGAGTTTGAATTTTGCAAAAAAAAGAAAAAGAAAAGAAAAAGAAAAAGGTCAGTATCCCTATCACATTAGCTAAATTCCCATTGCAGCTGGTATTTCTGTCTTTCCAGGGATACACCAAGGCATTCCCTCTCCTACACATCCAGACAAAACTTTAAAAGCATATACTGGTAAGAATGTAGCTTCTATAGAACCAAATCAAAGCAGGAGAGTGTGAATAGAATTTAGGGTGGAGACTTCAATAGACCTTAAAAGTTCACAAGCATTGAAAAGCAGTCAGAAGCTGAGAAAAATGTGAGAATTATACTGAAAAAATCATTAATCACTTCTTTTCTCCAAATACTTACCCTTTTCCTATTGTTATTCCAACAGCAAACCTCCACAGACCTTCTGCAAAGAAAAAAGAAAACCCGGGAGCCTCAAATTTTTTAAAATATCTTCAAGGGGAACATACACACACACAAAACACACACATGTATGTGTGCATGTGCATAGGTATACACAACGACACACAAAGTGGAATATTTGTCCTTTTCCTTTTTTGTGAACTGGAAGACTCTGCTCCTGACATGAATACCATCTTTAAGCATCTGGACAGTAATCATGGGCAGCTAAGAAGGTAAAACCTTTTTTCAAAGACTTGGCTTGTTAGTTTGAAATTGTATATTGCTTCACTTTTTAAATCAACCAGGTGGGGGCAACATCTGTGAAGCCCAGCATGTTTAGTTACTTGAAATAAATCCCACTGAGTTAAATGGTCTTACTCTCAAGTAAGTGTCTGTAGACTTGTACTCTTAGATGAGTTTCCAGCGATGCGGCATTTTTAGTTGGGGCTGGGGGGAAAAAGAAAGAAAGGAAAGCGCGAGGGAGACATTTTGCTAATATAAGAAAGCCTTTAAAAAGGAATTTAGATTACGTTTTTATTTTTTGATGTGGCTTGTATAGTGGAACTTTGCAGCCTAGATTTATTAAGATAATATTGGTGTTGGTGGCACTAAGGTGAAAAGGAGCTAAAGGCCATTTATTCTGCAAATACTTTTTCTTTTCTTTTTCTAATTTCCTTTCCTCCCCCCCACCCCACCCCGCATGGATTCCCCATAGTTGGAACATTCAGCGCATTGCTGTTCCAGAGCTCTTTATCCCATTGAATAATATAAAGCTAGTATGATGTATCTCATAATAGTAATTAGAAAAGAGAAAGTGTGGCTAGTGAATTTCTGGTAAAACTTGTATAGTGTTGGTGTGTGGGTTTTGTTTTTTTTTTGAACGTTTTTCAACAGAAGTATGAGTGACAGGTTCTATCTACCTGATTTTAGAATGGGAAATGGTTATATTAAACGAAATTGAGTGAAAAAATCTGTCCGGCTTCAGAGTGAGCACGGAGTTCATCCAAGGGACACGTTTTCTAAACGATTAGCTTGGCATTACAGCTACAGAATGACCCCACAAAACCCCTTGACCTTTCTAAGACTGGACATTGTGCTTTGTACTATTGCTCACCCAGAAGCAGGGGTGGGCTAAAGCCAACTCCCGAGACAAACATGAACGAAAATACCAGGGCAAAACATGAACGCCAACCACTCTTGTATGGCAAAAGACGACCGCTGTGTTGCCCCTCCTCCCCATCTAGGAGCGCCCGTTTGAGCCACTTGGTTTGTTTCCTTTCCATTCTTGATTATAGTATTGGAAGTTGCTTTTAGGATGGCTTCTGTCGCTGTTAATTTCCTTTGTTTATTTAAGGGCTCAGTCCCGCAGGAAGTTCTCCCGTGAAGCCTCAATGGAAACGGTTGGAAAGTCTGATGGATACTTGCGTTGATGCAAATGTGCAATTATCATATTTTGGTCTACTCAGATTTTATTTTGATGGTTACAATTCCTTTGCCACAAAGCACGCTGGGTATTATTATTTTCAATCAGCAACAGCAGCAATAGAAGTTGTAGTGGTAGCGGCAGCAGTGGTAGTGCTAGTGGTAAGCTCACCACGCCTTATTTGCTCCTTGTCTTCCTTTTTCCTGAGAGAACAATGGGGCTCTTGGATGTGTGTGTGTGTGGTATGCTTGTGTACGGGGTGGGTGGATAAGTGTCCATGCATGAGTGTGTGTGGTGTTAAGGTTCCCTTTGGAAAGAATGGTTTTGAACTTGGTTGATTTGGACAACGCCTCGTTTTTCTGGAAGATGAAATGGGGAGGGGGGGACAGACTGGCATTTATCCATTTCTCAGTTTCTTTCTTATCTTTCTTCCGCAAATTCTCTTCATTCTCTATTCAGCACCCCCAAATATATTTCCACAGCTAGCCACCCTCCCCGTGATATTATATGTTTAAAGGCTCTGTGGGTAGGCAAAGGGTCTGTGGAAAAGACGCTGCTGGGTATCTTGTAGTTTGTGTTTGGACTGATATCCTCAGCAGGAAAGAAGGAAACCTTAATTTGGGTAAAATGGCTGTCGTGCCCATCTCCTGTTGTTCTTGCCTTATAGCTTGTGGAGCCTTCAAATTCACTAAGCTTCTTCATCAAAGAAATGCATTCTTCATGTCATACAGTAATTTAGGCCTCAACCTGGTTGCTAGGCCCACTGGAGCAATGGGATTCATCAAAATGTCCCTTTGCAATTGTTTGAATGGGTCTACTCTAGCTAGGCCTTGCAGTTGGATCCAGACCTTAAGGGTGAGCCTGGTTTTACCAAAAAAAAAAAAGGGGTGGTGGAATTAAGTCTGTATGGAGTCACCTAGGAGTTAAGTTCTGCTGAAAAACAATGGGTTTCATTTTTAACTAGACATGGATTGCACCACCCATGCTGAAAAACAGCTTTCTTCCCATTTGCATTCAGATGGAGTGAAAACACAGCCCTTAATGTCAGTGGGCGACTTGATATGGCCCACAGAAAGGACCAAGGACTGCATTTTTAGAACAGAAAACATTTCATCAGCATCTCCAAACCAGTTAAGCCAGTGCCCTATAAAAGAAAGGCAGCAATGCTAAAAGGGATTCTAATTTGTACAGTTCAACATAAATGATTTGTGGATCAGTTGGTCTGAGTTGGCCAAATAGACCGATAGATAAGGTCACCTTTTGTACTGTTTGCTCTGGATTTGCCACTGGATATAAGCACCAAAGGACAGGACGCCCTTCACTGATCACTACCGCTGATGTGCCTAGGTCTTCATTGTAAGGAAGCTCAGGTTCCAAATAAGGGAGCAATTGCAGTAAAGCAAGACAGAAAGATGTGCCTTCCTCCCTTTTCTCCTTCACTTTCTTTTAAATGGAAGGCAAATGGAACAACAGTGGATGCTTGACAATTGAATGCATAGGAAGAGGCACCCAGATGAGCAAGTAGAGGTAGAATATTGCATATGCATTTAGCATCTCCCACCCACTCCTTCTTTCTGTGGCTCACCTTCTTTGTCAGGCACAAAATGTATATATTGTGACTGTAGGGGATCCAGGAAGTTTTTATACAACTCAAAACACAACGCTGTTGCAGAGTAAGCACAGGTGCTTCTATATATTCATTTTTATGCAAAGAAATGTGTGCAGCACAGCATGTGTGAAAAGGCTGTGGGCTTTTGCATCATTTAGAAGTGCCTGCACCTGCTCTGTGCTCTACAACTGTGTTGTATTTTGCCTTGCATGAGAACTTCCTAAGTCCCCTTCAGTCACAAGTATTTCTAGTCCGCCTGGCTAAAAGTGCGACTATTATCTGGGGAGGAGGACAAAAGTAGTCTGTCCATGCTCTGAGGCACTATTCCTAGTCTCACTTCTCACTCTATCAGCCTTTCGCATCTGCTCTTCTCCAGCTGTGCTGAAGGACTAATCCCATCACTCATGCTGTTCGGGGATGGCAAGTGTTGTTGTGCAACATATATATAGAGCTTGGAGAAAGCTGTAGTATTTCTATGTATTGTGACTACTATTTGCTAGAGTACAGTATGTTTAATAATTTTTGCCCATCTCGTTCTCTCTCCAGTTAGAGACATTTGCTCCGAACTTAACTGCACAGACCGAACAACCACAAACACAGACAAACACCCACATGCTCCTGCGCGCAAACTACTCGGATCTATGTCACAGTCCCACTGGCTTTTTTCCCTTTCTTCCTCCTCCTTTTCCCCCCGCTGTAAACGTCCCTTTCAGCGACAGGAGAAAGAGGCGGGGAGATTTGGCTGGCCGAGGAGCGCAGTTTGGGAGCGTTCTCAGTTTGATCGGTAGCCCCCCTGACAGATTTATGATCCCCAATAAAACCGGCGTGTTTAAATTCGTAAATCAATCTGCCTTTCCCACTATATAAACGTTCATTTTATCTTGAGAGAGAAAAACCCCTCTCGGTTTCTCGCACCTACCAGGGTGAAGCGAGGCGCTTCCTTTCCTTTGAACTATAGAAGACAGAAACATCTTTTTAAATCAAAGTTGCTCTTTCTTAAAAAGTGAGAGGAGAGGGAGGGGGGCGCAGAGGGATTTTTGTTTCCTTTGCAACTCACTGGATTATAGGCATGTTTTCTTTCTTCTTCTTCTTCTTCCTTTCATTTCTTTCTTCCTAAAGAAAGGCGCCTTTTAATCTTTCATTTTCAACATGTCTCTCCCCCCCCACAGAATTCTTTTTAAGCAAAATGTATTGGAGCAATCTGTAGGCTTGGACGACTTATTTTTGAGTGGTTTTGTTTCTTTTCCATTTTCCTCCCATCTCTGTGTGGGTCTGTGTTTAAATCATGGTGTTCCACTCGTTCTCCCACCCACCCCTGCACAGAAAAATCTTTTTCGGGGACAGCGCCTCCTGAGTTCGAAGAATACTTGAAGCGAGTCCTCCTATTGTCCTTTGTTACCTCTTACTTGGTTTCCAGTCGTTACAAACACCTTCTGGGGAAGGAAATCCGATTGACTGCAATGGGATTTCCTTCAAGGTAGCAAAGCATTCAAGATGCGATACAACTGGAAAAGCGATCTGTGGGGTTTGTGCTTGGGAACTGCCTTCAATGAAGCTTTCTTGGCGATACATTCATAAGAAAGCCTTACATATTTACTCAGTTGGCAAAACTGCTTTGGTTGATTTTCCTGGAAGTTACCTTTAAGTCAGGGAAAGTAAGCTTGCAGGCATTTAACTGGTGAGAAGGGTTTTTGTTGTTGTCCTTGTCATGCTTTCATTTCAGAATGCCGAGATTCGGATCTGAGGAATGAACGGTTTAACTTTCCTGGCAGTTCTAGGTTAGGGATATGATATTTTAAAACAAGAATCATAATCCAGGGAAGAAAAAATGGTATCTTCTTTATATACATATATAAAATATAAAACAACGGTTAGGTTAAGAGCCACATTAGGGTAGTTCTGTATTTTCAGAGGCTGAACCACCCATTCCTCCCCAGCCATTTTCTAGAGGTTCCCTTTTGTTACTGCTTCGTAATACCTGTTTAAAATCTTTCCTCTGGCAAAATAATTATTGTGGGCTTTACATTTCTCAAAAGACAGGTAGAAACAGGAGACAAAAACAAAAAGAACCCAGTTGTCAAAGTAGTAGCCAGATGTGCTTTACACACACACACACACACACACACACACACTTTCTGAGAAAGACAAGCCTTCCTTCCATTCGGAGCTCAGCCTCATCTATCCACCCCAGCACGCCATTG